ATTCATTCGAGTGTATGTAGTGCAAACGCACTGTTGTACAAAGTATTTTTAAGAAAAGATCAGTTTGTATACTTCAATATATTTCGTGATATATATTATGATTACTTGCACAATTTTTACATTTTTTTTTTCATGTATTCTTTGTGATATTATTAGATTATAACGTCATGAATTCTTCGAAGCTCTAACGATTACATTTATTATAATAGTTTCACGATTAAATATCATTTCATATATTTTTTATTTTATCCTAAATGTCCTAGCAAGAGTGTTGTATGTTTATTAATAAATCTTACATCTTTAAATCATTACAGTTAACATAATTCATAACACGCAAATGTAAAAAGAAAATATAAAAATAGTTAAACTGACGGATAAATACAAATTAAGTTTTTAACTATAGATTTATTTGAATAAATAAACTCGCAAATTTCAAAAAAGACGAAAAAATGAATATTTTTCATTTCTCATAGAGAGAAGTCACAATGTATGGAATGCTTGCAAACTATGTAAATTGTATATAAAGAAAATATAATTTAAAATGCTATCCCAGTCAGCAATAACACTGAATTATTTTTTGTGTGACTGAATTATTATTTATGTGAAAAATATCATGCATAAAATAAAACCGATAACACTTCAAGATGTGAAAAGCCGAATTATTGTTGCACGCTCAGACAAATGATTGCAGTGAAAAGAGGAAATGTGTTCTATGCTAGCACACTATCGGCGGGAAAGGTATTAATACTTTACCTTCGAAAAGCGAGTCCGATATTAATACCTTTTGTATAAAAAGTACATTTTTTTTTTATGCATATACTCTGCACTGTTTCTGGGTATTTTTTCTTTTCTTCTATAATTAACCTGTTGACGTATTTTGATAAATACGATGAATATTTGTGATCACGGGCCAAATATAAATATAAATATCACGAGTGGTCACAATTTCGGGCTAAACATGAATATCACGAATGAAATTCGTGGTATCAAATTTTGAAATAACTGCTAATGGAGATAAAAGTTAAAACTTAAACAATATTACCTGAATAATTATCGCCTTTATCTAGGTAAAAAACCCTAAAGAATTTACGCCTTCGTGCTGTCATACGCCCTATGTGCTATGTGCCCTGTGACCAGAAGCCATCCCACTACTTTCAAAATTATAATAATAGCCCATATAAATACACGGATAATTATTATAATAGTGCACAAAGAAGTGAAATACTTCTCCAAAACAAAATAAAGTGTTGTAGAACGATTAAGAATGAATAGAAGACTTCCTGAGAACTTGAAGAAAATTAGCCTTAAATTGTTCAAATTATGTTCCACCGAAGGATGTATATGGTCCGCTAAAATATATGCTGAACGAGACACGAGTGGAATCAGGCAAGTCGGTATAGCAGAAGACGTTTGCACTGAACTTACAAATAAATTGTTAAATGAAGAGTACTTTGTTTGCTGATAATTTTTATACCAGCTATGAGCTAGCATTTAAATTTTTGAATTTCAAAACACATGTTGTTGGCACTGTACGCCAAACAAGAAATTTATGCCAAGATATGTTATTTCTTACTCATTGAAAAGAGATGAGATGATAACGGGAAAGCAATAATAGCATAATGGTACTAAAATGGAGAGATGCCCGTGATGTCAGAATATTATCCACAAAACATGCACCCATTACGGTATCAGTTTCCTCCACTCATCGCGGTCCGAAATTGAAACTTTTAGCAGTAATAAACTGTAATAAGGGAAAGTCTGGCATAGACAGAAGTGACCAGATGGTTTCATATGTAACAACAATAAGGAAAAGTATCAAAAATTAGGAATTGGAAATTGGCAATCGGAAATTGGCAATTACATTTACTTATAGGAACCTCCATAATAAATGCACATGTGGTATATCAAATAGCAACGAATAAAAAAATAAAAATAAAAAAATTCCGGAACTTTTAGTTAAAGAATGGTTACACTTGAAAAATATTAGGTTCTAGGCAATGATGAGAAGAAAAGAAAAAAGGCATCTCACCACTTAGAAGTTCGTAAAAATCCACAGGACAAGAATATAAGAAGGATGTGCTCTATATGTTACCAAAAGAAAAGACAAATTTTCGAATACCAGGAAGCGAAAAAAAATTTTAAAAAGACTACAACAAATATTGTCCTAACTGTACAAAATCGCCTCAAATGTGTTTGAACTGTTTTAACGAATACTATAAGTAATTAACAATGTTATTTATTATTTTAAACCAGGTGATTCTACTTTTGGGGGCGCCCATATCGGATTCTGCTGAAGAAACTCTGTTCTTGAACGTTCCCGGTTATGAAAATGATGGACCTTCGGCTTCTGGACAAGGTGGTGATAGTACTCTTTCTACCTGTAGGAGAGGAGGCGTTGTCACTTAACCATGTTTTTCGGGCATGGCAGAGAATTGGAGCCGAACGAGTTGACCAGAGCGGTCAGGTAGGTCTCCTATATGTGAGGTATGGTTAAAAATACATACTTTAAAAAAATATTAGAATAAAATAAAATGACTATATAAAAAACTGGATAAAAAAATATTTGTAAAAATTAGTATGCTTTTATCTTATTACGTGAACTCATAAAACTTTTAATTGTTTTGTTTACGTTATACATTAAATGAAGAAATAAAAAGCTAAATTAAAAATTTCATTTTTTTTTTAATTTCATCAATACATTTGAAATATTATATGCTACTTATTTTTCAAAATTTATTGAAATCCTACCATTAATTTTGAAGATATTACATGTTGAAGACATTAAAAGCGCATTTCACTAATTTTCGTCCGCTTGTGAGTAAAGTACAATTGTAACTCGCAAATAGTGTGCTAGAAGTAAGCACTCTGAAGAATGCAATAAAAGCAAGAGTTATAATGTGACAGATATAAGAAGTTAGTTAAATTAAATAATTATAGCATGTAAATTTAGATTAAGGAAATGTAAAACGTTGAATTTGAACGACGGATTGAATGATTAAAGTTTAATATTTAAAAAATCAATGCTTTATCAAATGCTCTTTATGAACATGTTCTAAACACTTGCGAACATAAGGCTTGTCAATGATAAACATTCGAACTTTTAAGTATAAACATTAACAATCAATAAGATTTTCTTAAGTTATTCCCAATCCATCAAAGCAAATTAAATTTTGTACGGTGAAAAAATTGATATATTTTCCTGTCTTGTGCCTTGCAATAATAATTATATGGGCATTACTAGAATGTAATACTCATTCCAAATATAACCAACGCAAATATACTTCCAGGAGCTTGAATATAATTTATGGGAATACGGAGCTTTCTTAAAACTTCAAAAATGTAATAAAAATCAGTTACAGACAATAACAATATTAAATTAGCTTATGCTGAATAAAAGAAAAAAAAGAAAAAAATGTGGAACTAAAAATTTTATCCGAAGAATTTTTAAATTACAAAATCATCAGACACACTTTACTTTCAGGAGATGAAATTTAATGTATATGCTTCTATCAATTTTTTTTACACAAAAAATAGAAGATGGTTCAAACTTTCTTTGGGAAATTTTATAGACAAACTGAAAGTAAATTTACAAATAGTGGGATTCATATAGACATAATAAACATATCATGACTTCAAAGAAATATGATTATTACATACTTTTTTTTTAAATACTTATATACTATTTCAATATTTGTGTATTATTGCAAATAGTATATTAAATAATGAAAATTGGGCTTTTTAAAATCGATGTTACCAAATTTCTCAACCTTCCTTCGGGCAGAATTGAATATGAAATATTTCTAAGATGGTCCACACACAATGCACGTATTGTAACAAATTGTCTCCAACAAACTTTTTGATAGATATCTTGTAACTTCTTCACTCCTTTTGATTTTTTTAGGGGGGGAGAGAGAATTTTATCTCAAAGATAGAATTTATTTCTGTTCTATTTGCTTCTGTTGAAAAGTTGAAAAAAAGAATTAAGTTGCAACAAAAAGTAATTCATCCACGTTCCTTTTAAATTTTAACACAAAGCAGCAGATTTTCTTGCTCGGAAAAGAAACTTCAGATGAAAAATTTTACTCTCTCTTTTCTCATAGAATCACTTCCTACTTGGTTGTTATTATTGTATTATTTGTGTATTATTATTATATACATTAGATACTGTATTATAGATATTAATTGAACAATTTTCTTGATATTATATCATGTTACCACGATGATGATGGAATATTTTAATATTCAAACTTACGCTAATAAATAGCATAAAATAACAAATGAAGACTAAAAATTATGAATATTCGAAGACTGAAATTACGAAATTGGGACATTACAATAATCTCAATGTTTTGGAGACATCGAGAGAGTAAACTAAAAAGAGAGACAAATTTCAAAAAATCAAGATGTGTGGTATTTTAAGTGTATTTTTTAATAGAAGAAGTATAATAATGTCAAAAAATAAAAATGCAGATGCAGATTATTAATGGTTCGTACAAATTGATGATAAAGGAAAGTCTATATCTGGATCCGGATAACATGTGAAAGGATGATTTCTGGCTATCTCTAATAAACACGTTTCTGCAAAATCCTTCACAAAAAATTTTAACTTAAATTTTTAATTAAGTAATAGTACGAATTGCAAAACATATACATAAAATGTCAACGAAATATGTTTATTTTGAAAAATTTACTACAAAAAATTTTAATTTCTCGCCATAAAAAATCAGCTCCTTAAAACCAACAAAAATCATGTAACAATAATTTTTTAAATGTAACTAGATATCAAACATATGCTATAGTAGTATGTTGATTGGTAAAAAAATTCTCAATGCTTTAAACATTGTAACATAAATGCAATATCGATTGTATATAAAAATCAACAAAATGCCTCAATGGACATTAAAACTTTTTACTGAAAGTAGGGGAATATTGCATTGAAAATAGCAATGGAGATATGCCTTTTCATTATAAAGCATTCAAGGCACTAGAAAAAGGACTTCGATAAGTTCTTTAAATAACAATTACTTATTAGTACTAGATTCAAAATAAAAATCATTTTTTATACCATTATCCCTTAACGTCAAACCTACATATAGAATAAATTTTTTATAGGGTCATTTAGTGTTGATACTTTAATACACCATGACTCTTCATATATTTAATTTTGTATTACTTCATATTATTTATAATATTCTATAAATCTTTCATCATATATTTTAAAAGAATCGTCTAATTGTTCTTTGCTAATATTGTACCAAGATGAACAATAACCAGTTATTTATAGTAACAGAAAAATTTTTTTCAATAGCTATAAAATCATTAGCAGAAACGAAAATTTTCAAAAATTTTAGGATTATTATTGTCATCAACAAAAGTTTTAATACATTTTTTATTATCATCTAATTTAATAACTGCCAATTTGTTATCAGAAAAAAATTTAAATATAATTCTAACATATTTAATAATTGTTTTTTGAATCTAAAATCTGTTTAAATAGTACATAGTACTATTTAGTGACATGATCAGATTAGGATCACTAGTGTCATCCAACTCTAACTTCTAAACATAATGATGACAAAATCTGAATTTTACTAAATATATTTTAACCTATTTAATTTCTTAGCAATAATTTTATTAAATTTTAATTAAAAATAATTTAGTTAAATTTAATAATAATTAATTAAAATAGATAATTAATATTAATGTAAGTCTCTTATAAGTTTCTTTTTTTTTTACTTCATAGATTCAGAGAGATTTTCATTCATCACGATAAAAATTAAATATAGTTAAATAAATGCAATGTATATCAAATAAATCATTTGTAAAGGTTGATTTTTTAAATCTTCATCGTCTGCTGTTTTGACATTTATTATCATTTTTTACAATACTTATAAATATTGTTGTATTTTTAAAATTGGATATATTGTTTGTAATTTCACACTCGAGCAATCTGTTTTCAATATGTTCATTAAAACTTTAATTATCCAATTTAACATTTTTTAACGTTCTCAAATATAAAGAGCTAGTACCTATCCTAGTATATATCCATATTGATCTATAACTCCTTAACATCATGTAAGTCCAATATCTTTTAATGATGCATGACTTACAATATTATGAATTTAAAAAATAAACTATTGAGTTGATATTTTTTAAAAATATATATTTTTTAAACCATTTAATTTTAAAATATGAACAAAATCATTTCTGAAAAATAAAGATCAATTCTTTTCTGAAAGATTTAAATAAACGATATTTTCTTGACGATGATCTATAAAATATCAAATCACTTTTCAATTAATAAAAATATTAACTGTTAGAATGATAATTTTAAAACTATGGTTCATAAAGCTAATATAATTAATAATGTTTCAATAATAATAGTTTATTAATATTCATTTTATGAATTAGCAAAAAACATATATAACATTTTTGAAATCATACAATAAACTTTGTATCATAAAGACATACAAAAGTTGTTACAGAAATATTAATATTATCATGTGCTATAATAACAAAATTTTCTTCTTTGTAATTTATGTAAGATTTTATATGAATCTTATCTAACATTGACAATATTGTAGGCAATGCCCTCTGTCCTTGGCCAGGAGTTTTAAGTATTTCGAAAAATGCTTTCAAATATGTACATTTGAACACAAATGCGCCTGATTCGAACATTTTAGAAAAGAAAGGATACTACCAAGTAAAATAAAACATTAGTAGAATATGTTTGATGTTCCTGTAAATTTTTCATTTGTTAAACATTATTTTTTTTGGTTATAATTTAAATCACACAGTGGCAAACAGAAAGAAGTTCAAAGAATGAAAGTGAATGAAATGAAAAAATTTAAAAAAAACTGTATCATTATACTTGAATAACATTAAAATTAAGAATAAACTAAA